CTCCCTCACACTCAGGTACACCACAGATTAATGTGTGCTGGGAGCATTCACAGGGGCTGGTACAGGGCGGGAAGCAGACGTAGCCATACATATGTCTGTGGAGCTGTCATGTTTTCTGATGCAAAACCCTTCTGAAATGTGCCATGGACCATCTCTGCCCTACCTTACAATAATAATCTTATCTCTTTAGCTGCATGTTTATAAACTGTTATCTATGGTCTGTCGTGCACAATTAGCAAAAAATTGACAAAGGTAACAGTATTTTTTTTATGGTTTGCTAAGGGGAGTGATGCAGAAAAAAGACTAATTTACTGACCTTTTGTACCAATCCCCCCCCCACCCCCTTTGCCCTCTTTCTCCCTCCGTTTGCCTCTTTCTTTCTGACAGGATGCGCGTTTCTGACGTACTGCGCAAGAGAGTCAGCCCTGAAAGCCCAGAGCGCTCTCCATGAGCAGAAAACACTACCAGGGGTACGTGCTCAAAAACAAATACCAATAAACACACAACATCCCATGACAATAGACACTCACTTATGCAACAATGCACGCCGTCTTGCATGTATGCATTCATAGTACAACCCCCCCCCTCTCACCTAAACACAAAGACATCTACCATGTGGACAAATACACACAGGATAACTTCAGTGTGTGTGTTCGAGGTTCAGCTCCCATTAGTAACACAGTGACATAACCCAGCAGCCGGCAGGCGTCTTGCTGCTAAGGACAAACACTCCCCCTCTCGTTGGAGACATATAGGCTACTCTATAAGCATTATCGTCTTCATTTTTCTATCTTTCGCTGTCACTCCATCTCTCTGTCGTTGCCTCTGTTAGCCCCCGGTGATAGCTGCCATCTAGAGAGTGTGTGTAATTAATGTGACCATTCCCCTTTGTCTCATCCCAGGCTCCCTGTAGTCTCTCTGCTGAGGGATTGTGAGCAATGACTGTGCAGGGGTAGGACACCGTTCATTATGGAGGGGGCAGTGTGCAGGAGGAGCGTCTGTCTCATAGGCTGCTGCTCTCTATCTTTAGCTTTTCCCTTTTTTGTTTTTGCTCTGACCTGATTTCCAGGTGTCTTGTTTGGGGATATTTAGATCAGGCTTTTCGTTGCTGCTGGTACAGAGCAGATTTCTTTGACGTTTAACTGATTCGTATATTTTATTCAAAGGACTATAACATACAAGGGAGACAAACATGTTGAATCCAACAGAAAATGAAGGGATTACAAGATTATTGCATTTATCAATCAAAGCATATCTCCCTAACCCTCTGATATTTTATTAAACTCAAAAGAAGTAGATTAAAATATACGCTGTTGTTTGATGTATTTATAGACTAAAAATAGAGAAAAATCTTAGTTTTGATACGGTTAATGATATGCTTTTCTTTTAATGACTGAACATTAAGGGAAAACTAAGCTATAGGTTAATCTTTATTAGAAATACTTTTCAACCCAAAACGGTTTAGACTGTATTAGAGTTTGAGATATAATAATGCAAGCCATTTATAAAAAAATTTAAAAAAGGACACGTTTTGGATTTGCACTAAGTATAACAGAATAGTTAGCGCGCCTCAGACATTTCTTCAAGCATTTCAATCTCCTTTCCTCCGTGTTGCCTTGCAACCGATCGCTGTTTCAGTTCCTGCACCTTGTCTGCAAGCTGGAGTGTTGATAAGATCTCTGTGAGAAAATTGTTGGAGAGCCTGAAGAGAGGAGGACGTGGGGGGGAAGGGAAATGTTCTCCCACATATGAGCTGAAATCCCTGCATACATACATACTTTGCCCCATCACGCATGCTCTTTCATGTAGCTGGAGGATGCCTCTGTGTTTGCACATAGACACTCACCTATACTACAGCGTGTTCGTAATGACATTAATCCAATTAGAGGCTGCTAAGACGTTTGACCCATCTGCATTTAGAGCAACTCTCTGTAGTTTGTTGTTTGCTTCTTGGTTGTATGGTGACATGCTTCACAGATGAACATTGGCAGCATATCTCTAGATAAGCTGTATGAAATATTCTGAATGCAAAGATAAAGGATTAGTCGCAGGGTTAGCTACTGCTAAAGAGATGAGCAAAAGAGGCAGCCTCCCACAAACATAGCCGTCACTTTGTGCTAAATAAAGGGTGTGACCACTTAATGTATCTTTTTAGTAAAATATTGACAATGTTTTAAAATTCTCTCAGTTTTTCCAGCCTTTTTTATTCAGTAAAATTTTTCGTTTTTTTATGAAAATTTTGTTGTTTTTCAGTTTCTGAATGAGGTAATACTTTGGTGCTCAATTATTGTTATTAAGTTATTTTCCATTAAAACACCAGTAGTTTTTCGGCTCATTCTGAAGTCTGACAGAGTATGACACTGTTTTAAGCTATAGATTTAAAAAAAAGAAGAAAAAAAAAAGTTCAGAAATTCTTGGACTTCTCAATCCATATAACCTAACTTTACATTAAGTTTTTCGTTTTTTTCTTCATTCTGAAGCCCCCCTGCGATACTGAAAACAGCAACCTTTGCTCAGTAACAGCCACCACACTGAAGTTAGTTACTGGCTCAGCCTGCTACTGCTAATTTCTATAAAAAGTCAGGTGTTTGAAGGGCAGACAATCACAGGTCAGGACTGATCAAGCAGATTATCAGCCCATTTAGGTCACCAGCCTCTTCGCGACGTCTATTAAGCACAGACTTTAATTTGTCTCCCCTTACCTACTGCTGCTGTTTGCCCTGAGCTTTTAGTCCCACCACCCATATCTATGTATTTTCTACCTCCCCTTGCCTCCACCTCTCTGCCTCTGTTCCTCTGATAGGATTTTGAAATGACTTTCACTTTCTTTCATACTTCTAGTCATCGGCCTATCCTTTTCTTTTCCTGTGACATGCCCCCCCCCCCATTCCATTATATCTCCCTCAAATCCCCTCTGTCCCATGTTCAACTCCTCCCCTCCTGTCTTCCAGTCTCTGTGCAGCAGTAGGATATTACAGGATGTTCTCCTCACTTCCCCCAATCCATTCATTTCATGGTATCCCCCACTCTCATCCCTCCCCTCCCCTCCTCCTTTCCCTCCCGCTGTCTTCTGCTACCCACGTTTTCCTCCCGCTCCACTCTTCCAGTTCCTGCTCCGGTTCTCATTTCACAGTCATTTATGGTAACCCTCCTCTAGTTGTCCTCTCTACACCAGTCCTACCACCTCCCTGTCCTTCCCCCCACAGTTCCTCCAGTTTTCATCCCATTTCCCTTCCTCTTGATTAGTTGACCCCTCTGACCGTTTCCGTCTCACCCACCATCTCCTCCTCCTCTCTGCTCATCCTCCCCGGTTCTGCTTGTTCGTCTCTCAGAGGAGTTTATTGCAAACTTTCTTTTCTCCTTTTTCAGATTTCGGATTCAGTGTAGGACAAGAGGGCTAAAGAGTGTAAACACAGCTTGAATTTTAAATAACAGTAAGCCATAACACATAATTCTTGTTAGGAACATTAAATGGAAGAAAAGTTTCCTTTGTAGATGGCAATAATTAGCCACTAATGCAACTTCCTGTTTAGCTATATTCAGATTAATCTGTGTACAATCATTAAAGCAGATCATTGGAAAACAGAAGAGCTCTGCCCTGTCTCAAACTTCTTTGCAAGCATCTGCAGAGTGGGAGACTTTCTGATTGAATATTGAGGGAAAAACTACTGAGAGATTTGTAGCTCAAGATGAACAGATGGTCTCAGAGTGACCTGGGCCTTTTGTTTTGTTTGGACTCGGAAGGAAATGGAAAGATGTAGCACATATTTAAAAGTAAAAGGAAATCAACAGAAAAAGCAAAATGAAGTTATACTGTAGCTTTCAGATGTTTGTATTAGATGTAATCCAGAGTTTCCCCCTGGGAGGCATTTACATAAATAAGCTCCTGCTGAGCCACCGGTCATTGCATATTATTGTGTTCATATTGGAATCATGAAAGTTACTTGCAGGAATGTGTCTTTAGCTTAATATGTTAATAATGGATTCAAAAGCAATTGCAACACGTGCTATCATGGGGTCGTCAAATCTCCTAATAACGTTTCTTTAAGGCCTACCCTTTTTCCTTCCTATTACAAGTTTACAAATGTAAAGATTATGATTCTGTGGGCCTGTTTCTTTCCAAAGGCACAATGAAACTTGTTGAGTGTTTTCTAGCATAAACTCCAAGGAATACCGGGAAATAAAAAATACCATACAAGTAGACTAAAAATGGGGGATAATGACTAAAAATCAATCTTCTTCCATGGCAATCTTATAATCTTATTTCCACCACCGAACTCCTGTAAAAAATTAGTGTCAGTAGCTGCAGAGAATAGACAATAAATGAAGATAAAATAAGAAAAGATTTACTCCAAATGTTAAAGGACAAGATTAAGTGCTGTAATACTGTTAATAGCAGGTTCATGAAATTATTAAAAGCTCTGGCTTCAGTGATTTAGTAAGAAAATATATTTTATTATTTTATTTATTTAATCTTTTCACCAAAATAAAAAACTAAATCTCAAATGGAACTGTATTTTTTTTTTACATATTTTGTAGCTTGAGAATAAACTACTGCAGTAAATGTTTTATTTTAAAGGGATATCTTTCTGCATAATCATTACTTTGAGTGCTAACACTAACAAACATGGCTGGCCTTTGCGCAATGCATGTGTGAGTTATCGATGGGTAAAAGTTATGTCTGGTTTCTGTGCTTTGTTTGTTTGAAAAGATGTTGGCAGGAACCTGTGCGCTAGGTGAGAGGTCAAGGCTTGATGGAGGAATGGGGGCCTGTTGCAGAGGTGGCTGTCAGAGCAATAAAACATTCCTTCCAGGCAATCATGACATCTGCCGTAAATATTAAGGCCTACATAGTCTGCTGCAGTGCATTAGATGGAATAGAAATGTCCGCAACTTGTATCAACGATTTATTTGTCATGAAGTTGTTTTTATTTATTAAAGCGGTTAAAGAGCTTCACAAACCTAGAACTTTTTAACAGTTTTTGAATATTTTTCTAATATTACTGACATACAGAGGCACCTGACCAAACAGGTCATGGTTTAGATAGATCTTTGGGAAGATTTGAAAAAAATCCCTCTCTACCATCAAGCCTGACTCAGCTGATGCTGATTTGCAAACAAAAATGGTCATAGATTTCAGCCTCTAGATAAGCAGAGCTGCTAGGAACACACTCAACAGCTGTAGCCCAACATGGTTCTACACAGCGTTTACTCAGGGGGGTTGAAAACAATGTGAAAACCTTGTATAATGTTTGCTTTAAATTCACGGCTTTGTTCTACTTTCTGTTGGCCTATCATCTGAGATCCCGATAAAATACTGCTCATTGACATGTATAATGTAACAAAACATAAACAAGCTCAAGGTGTATAAATAAATTTGGTGAAATATATATATTTCAACAAACTCTCCTTGTTGGTTAACTTAATACAGTGATAAATCATAAAATAAACTCCCTGTTTCTCTCCCCTC